CCAATGCATTCTGAGGACTCTGCAGCTGTCTTCAGAAAGCCCTGCCTAGGAACCACTAAAGAAGACTTGGGGTTCATCTCAAAGCTCTTTATGTGGAAAAAAAAAGCAGCTTATATGTCAGGGTGGTTTCCATTCCAGTTCTTCCCAGAGTTAGAGCCTACGAAACTGCTAACCCCCTAAGTCTCCCTGTAGTACACTGAATAGAGAAATCTAGGTGGCTAAAAAAATATACTCTGACATAGCATTTTTGAAAAAGAAAGCATCCAAATCATAGGCTATTTGGCTGCACTATGCTTAGCAGCTATGTCTAATCTGCAGCCTGAGGGCAGCATGCTCCCCAAGGTAGATATGAATGTGGCCCAGCAGAAAAGCATAAGCTTTTTTAAACCATTATGAGATTATTTTTAGCAAGTAGATTGTGCAGTGTTTTGTAGCTAGCAATGTTGTGTCACAATGTCTAAAAGTTGGGCGTGCCTGGGAGTCTAAGGCCTGCATTTTTTTTCCCCTTATTCTTGAACTACTGTGGAAAATGGAGCCAAAACAAAGAGGGTCGCACTACATACACATGTTCCCATCCTACAAGGAGACATACCACAGTCGGCTGCCTAGGCGATTTCCTCACTTTGAATAATTTCGCCTTGACAATCCTTACTGCAAGGAGCTTGTAGAGTTCAACTGGTTATATACTCCTGCTTACCTAAATGACATCATAGGTTAGCGTGCAGAGCTCAGGGGGACCTACAAGATCATCTAGCACAACCAGTATCAAACAGAAAAGGGCTTACTCAAGGTCACTAGTTACTGGGAAAGTCGAGGCTTTAATATAGCTACTCTGTTCTTGTATTAGTGCTCAACACATGGTAATCTTACACCAGATTAGAAAGAAAGTCCATAACTTAATTGTTGTAGTTCTTTGGAGAAGCATATTTAGTGTTCCACAGAATAAAACTCTTCCTCTGACGGTATGTTTTGAACTTTTTTTCTCTAATAAAATGTTATGACAAATCTTCTTTTTCATTAAAAACAGAAAAGTATAGCATAATACTGCATTTGTTTCTCAGCCTACATATGAAATCACAGAGCTTCTCACATACTTCTCTAGGGAACCAAGCACCTTGGAATGAGAATGAATGATTTGCAGTCCAATGCAACACACAAAACTGCAAACTGACAATTGTAAAGATTACCCCCTAAGTGAGGACTTTAAGGAGAGAGAACATTTTATCCTGACATGGAAGGGCAGGAAAGGTATCCTAGAAAAAGTTAAAGCTTGGAGGGGGCCTACCTTCTAGGCCAAAGACCAATTGGGTATACAGGGAGGGGAGCATCCAGCGCAGCTGAAAGGGCCCCGATGCAGCGATGATTAAAAAGAAAGTAGAGAGGAAACTTCCAATGGTCCATCTTGCTTGGTAGCTAGATTGTCATAGTGGTGACAAGGTGGTGACATACTTTATGAACAAAACATATCAAACGGCGTCCCCCTACATAAATACAACATAGTGCCAAGCTAGAGTGACTTCACAATGCAAGCTCCTCATCTGCATTCCACCATCAACACATGAATTTAAAAGATCATATGCAATATCACTAAGGGAGGTAGAGGGAAAGGAAGAACAGAATTTACCAGTAAGTGACTGATTGTGAGCCTCTAGATGAGATCAACTACCCCACTGGTGAAATGAATAGTTGATCCTGACATGGATGGGGCCTTATAATTTATGAAGATTCCACCACACATTGTTACTAAAAGATCAAACACATATGCTTATAGACTTCCAAACAAGGTTTCGGGCTCCTGAGTAAACAATCCTTCACTCCTGTACCTGCTCCTCCATTTCATAAGAGCTAGAGCAATCTAATTGCAATGTTTTCAGTTCATTTGTCAGTTTTACTAGAAAGCAGTGGTTTTGTGAATAAAATATTCAGCTAGAGGTTAAGAAACACGCCTTCCCTCAAGCTTCTATACAGAGGAAAACTGGGAAATTTCACATGTTAAGGGTTGTGTTTTGTCATTTTGTGAGACAGGGTCTTACCATGTACTCCTAGGTAGCCTGGAGTGTAGATCAGCTGGCCCCAAACTTACACACAGAGATCCACCTGCCTTCGCTTCCTGGGTGCTGGGATTAAAGACATGTACCACCACGCATGGTTCACACATTTAATTTTCACTTGAACCTAAGAAAGAAAAGGTACAAAATATGCAAGATGATGAGAAAGATGTTTTCTATAAATAGGTAGATCCTCTTTAGAACCACACACACACAAAAAAATCTCCAATGATCAACTTCAAATGAGTTCCTTGAATCATTCACATATCTCAGAATCAGGGCCACATGCAGACTTCATTCCTCATACTTACAGACCTCCTGAAAATAGGTAGTTTTGGAGAACCCCTTGTTGTAAGGGAGGCCACTTGTTCATTTCCCGGCTGCCCAGACTCCTGAAATAACCACACAGAAACTGTATTAATTAAATCACTGCTTGGCCAATTACTTAAGCGTATTGCTAACTATCTTTTACATCTACAATTAACTCATCTCCATTATTTTATATTTTACCACAAGGCTCATGGCCTGTCGGCAAGGTTTCACCATGTCTTTCTCTGGCGGCAGCTCTATGGCTTCTCCCTGACTCCACCTCCTTTCGCCCAGCATTCAGCTTAGTTTTCCCTTTCTAACTAAGTTCTACCTTGCTATAGGACGAGCCAGTTTCTTTATTCATTAACCAGTAAAAGTAACACATAGACAGAAGGACCTCCCACACACACACCCTCATTGAGATTTTTATGTGGGCTGAAAGGTAGCTCTGAAACTGGTGAATTCACAGGATACCTGAGAGCATTTTACTCTCTTTCTCATGGGAAATGAAGGTAAAGGCATGCAGGGGTAACATCTAGGAATAAGGGCATGGACATTTCTGGGGTCATAAGTATACAGAATGGGGGAAGGCCCATGGCCATACATGAATCTAGCTGACGGCGCTATTCATCGCCCTCTTAAAATATAAGCATTAAGTGTCCATAATGAATTGGACACTATACCAGTTATTTGAGATTACCAGAGGAAACAAGAGAAAAAATGCCTACTCTCATAATGTCATACCCTATTGCAACTGTCCCCTATGTGCCTGTTAATTACAGTTGTTTCTCAGTTAAGTTTGTGCCCAGAATGCCCCCCAATGATTCTACCAGAAGAGTGCCCACAAGTAGTAGAAACAGGAAAAAAAAAGCAAATATTCAGAGAGGGGCAGACTGCAGCTGGAACTGAATGCTTTTTCAGGCTTGAAGAAGCACCACAGAACTCACTTGATGTGCTTTGTATCTCTTGCCGGTTTGTGGCTTGGAAGAGTGGTGTGAACACAGGCTTCCTAAAGAAAGTCTTATCAGAGTATCCATCGCCCTAGGCTGGGTTAGCCAAAGGACAAGGGCCCCAGAGAAGAACACCCTGTGAGATGCTGAACTGCCCCCACTCCAGTGTCTTGCTTCTGGACAGCAGGACTCCTGCCAAAGCCAATCTTCCCAAAGAACCGCTTGGATGAAGGCATCACCCTTGGATCCAGATAAAATCTGTGGGAAGTCATTGGAGACCCTCTAAACTTTGGCCCTATCCCTCCTACCCATTATATTCTTTCCTACTCAAAAGATACTAGATAATCTTCCAAAGATGGTTCCCCTGCTACTTGTTTTTCCGGAGCCAGTGTAAAGGACAACTTTACCAGAAGCTGTGACATTATCAGCAAGAAACTTCTTTTGAGTTCTATGCAGCTCTGGAGTGCTTTGCCCACAGCTAGAAGCCCCTGCTTGGCTACATAGTTTATCTTCCATGGCAGAGCGAAGTCTTTGAGGATAAGGACTGTTTTATGGCTGCTATCTCTTCTCAGTCCTTAGACAGAGCCTTGGTGTTTACTGAATGCAACACCAAGTTGTTTCTTTTCTTTTCTATCTGGGAATTCACTTTATAGTCAAGTTTTCTTTTAACATATTGCTCAGCTACGCATTTTTCTCCAGTCATGTTAATGAAGCAGGAACAACTCTGACGTGAACTTAGAGGCAGGGTGCCTTTAATAAATCTGTGATGTTTTATGCATGGCCTTTGGAGGACTCAAGAGATGCGGGCTTTTTTGTGTCCTTCCACTCCTTTCATAATCTCACTTCCACCGCCCCCACCCACCAGCTGTACTTCTTCAGCCTCCACTCTTATTAAAAACCACTTTAGCCTTTGAGATATCCCAGGACCTTTCCTTCCATATGCTTCCTGTACTTAGCCCCCTCTCCACATTCCTTTAGGCCATTATCCCTGGTCGCAAAGTGTGTTCCCCAGGCAATTTCAGGAACTCTAAGGATGCCCTAGTATTTATTGAGAGTGGTGATCCTAAGTCATGAGCTTAACATATTTACAATTAATACACAGACTATATTTAGGGAACTTTCAACTATATGAAAGTAATTTTTGGCTCAAGCAGAATACCAGGGTTTTATTTGCTGATTCCTAGATTGATTTATATTATGAACTTCAATGATTGACTGACTTACATTTATAGAGAGAAAATATTTAGTGAGCTAAGCATTGCTGTCGACACTAGAAATATGAACTTCGTGTGTTATTTGGAATGACTCTAGCAGACATATAGCTCCATTTACAGAAGAAAACCCGAGGTCTTGTCCAAAATCATGCAGTTATTTTGTGGAGCTAGGGTTCTACCATTGTTCCATTCAGTATGGAGCACATATATTCTGTTATGCCATGGTATCCCCTTTAAAAAAATCCAGTTCGTTCTAGTTGGTCTGCTACTCTAAAACAGAACCCACTAAAATGCAAGCTTAGAGGCAGAAACTTTTTATATTCCTAAGCAAAAGGCTGCCAAGGGCACCGTCTTATTTGGTTTCCTTTCCTTAAAGTGAGCACTGGCTTAGCCCATCACTAACCCAATTATTATACCATCTACTTATACCACCATCACCAAAATCAACTGTGTTTCAAAGAAAACAACAGCCTAAAATATATTATTTCCATGATTTCTTTCTAGAAATTGGGTGCATGGTACAGTACGGTTAAAACCAGACAACTCCAGATTTCACAAGTATGTCTAATCTTACATTTTTGGTACAATGATCCAGGCGGTAGTGTCGCACACCTTCAATCCCAGCACTCTGGTGGCAGAAGCAGGCAGATTTCTGTGAGTTCAAGGCCATCCTGATCTACAGCAATAGTTCCAGGACAGCCAAAAAGCCTGTTTCGAAAAACCAAACCAAACCAAAGAAACAAACATACATTTTGGTACAAAGTTACAATGTAAATGAATTAGCAATGATTATCAAAGCAAACAACCTACACATAAAAGGCTAAAATTATTCCACATTATCAAATAAACTATTCCACAATCAAATATACATCTATGTATTTCCCCTTTAAGAATTTAAAGTAAGGTTACATTTATTCATTCAACAAACATTTATTGAGCACCAACAACTGTACTCGGTGCTATGAAACACAACTTGAATAAGATAAACCAGGCTCCCGCCCTCACTGGATACGGTTTGCTTTAAAGTTTAAATGATTTTGCTAACTATGTGATAGCTAATGTTCTGTAATAGAATTATATTTCGGGGAAAGTCAGAGTCATAGGAGGCCTCTTCTGGAATACTTTTAAATTTTCTTTATGGTAAACGATATAAATCTTTAACTTAAGATTAGAAGGAAGATCAGCAGTCTCTAGTATGGTTTCAACAAGCACGTTGATGGTCAAGTTGACTGTCAAGCAATACGGTGGTGAATGGTGGTCAACCAAGGGGGTAGTTTAGACCATTCGGTTGCGCTTGTGGGATGGAGAGTCTATGGTGGCATCACCAAACTGGGCCGAGGTACGCTTGCGGATTCCCCCACTGTCCAGGCGGAGAGCCAGTTCTTCTGAGCCCAAGGGGTTCGGATCATCTTCTAGAAAGCAACTTTTCCGACGCCCACTGCTGGCAATACCTCCATCTTGAGATGAGGAACCAGGAGTGCCAGATCGCATGCTGATGCTTGCCATAGCGCCATTGAGGCCATGGAGGGCGATGGCCTCGTGGAAGGGCTGCAGGTCGACGTCCACAGGTGCGGTGGACTCAGTGGCAGCAGCCTGACTGGAAGCAGCTGCGGGCGGCCTAGGGGACATCCTGGAGGTGCGTGGCGGGGGAGGGGCGGGGGGGACTTTGCCACAGAGGAAGCTAATGAGGTCTTCCCTGCGAATGATGCTCCTACCCTTCTTCACCCACTCCAGCACATCTCTAACGCGACGCTGGTAGCCAACCTGGACGCCCAGCTCAAAACTTCGCTGGTAGGCATCCCCGCTTTCTTTGTAGAGGCTGGTCACGGCCATGGCCGCATTCTGGAAGGGGTCCCACATAGACAGTCCTGGCTGTTGGCACCCGGAATCTTTGTAGAGCTGGGCCACCGCAGTGGCTGAGATCTGGAAGAGGTGCCAGAGCCTCTGCCGCTCGATCTTGAGCCCCGCCGCATCAGCAGCCGCCTCCTCCTGCAGCTCGGGGGCCAGCTGCTCTTCCTGCTCCGCCTCAGCAAGGCACTGGCGCTCCCACTTAGAAAACCAAGGCTCGGCGACCTCGGCCTCACGGTCCTTCTGCTGCTCCTCCATCCTTCTCTTCCTCCAGGCCGCGCGCCTTCCTCCACTACAGTCTCCGCGGCTGCCTGTGGCTGCAGCTCCTTCACCTCCGCCTCCGCCTCCTCCTCCTCCACCTCCACCTCC